AAAGTAAGATGATAAATTAGGATTTTTGGTAGGGCAATTAAAAGACTAGAGTCTTAAGTAAAATGGGGAAGACTCCAGGAGGAGTAGTACTTTTTTTTTTTATTTTTCATTTCTGTTTGAGATAGAGTCTTACTCTGTCGCCCGGGCTAGAGTGCCGTGGCATTAGCCTACCTCACAGCAACCTCAAACTCCTGGGCTCAAGAGATCCTCCTGCCTCAGCCTCCTGAGTGCTGGGTCTACTGGTGCGCCACCATGCCCGGCTAATTTTTTCTATATATTTTTAGTTGTTCAGCTAATTTCTTTCTATTTTTTTAGTAGAGACGGAGTCTCACTCTTACTCAGGCTGGTCTCAAACTCCTGAGCTCAAATGATCCACCTGCCTTGGCCTCCCAGAGTGCTAGGATTACAGGTGTGAGCCACCGCACCCAGCCAGAGTAGTACTTTAAATTTAACTAATTTACTCAATGTTTAACCAGCACCTTATATGTACCAGGCAATGTGCTAAGATACTGGGGATGCAGAAGTAACAAAAATGTAATCTCTGTCTTTAAGGAGCTTATTGTTTAATAAAAGATAAAAGACTATGCAGACTTATACAGTAGAGCAAGTACTAAGACAGAGGTAGATACCATGTTGGAGCACAGAGGAAGGGCACCTAACCCAGAATAAAACCTGGGGATGGTGGTATGGGAAGCAGGGAAGGATTCCTGAAGAAGAGGTAGCTGAGAATAAAAGGAGGAATGGGAGTTAATAAGATAAAATAAGCGGTAAGACTGTTTCAGACAGACTGCAGTCACTGTAGAGGAATGGAGTTACTAAATGGCATGGTACAGTCAAATAATCACAGTTTGGCATGGGAGGCTACCCACACCTATAATGCTTTGCCTACAGTAACAGATAAAACAGGCATAAACGGGTTTGAGAAAAAACATAGTTAGTTCACTGTTGGTTAAGTGTAAATCTCAGCAGACAGAAGTAGAATGGCACGGACATTCTAGCAAGTAGCCTACTGGTCACAAATGCTCAGTGCACTGGGGCATCTGCAGTAAAGATTGAGCTAGAGAGGTGAGCAGATCACAGCAGATCTTGTAGGTCAGTCTCACACCCTGTAAACAGAAGGGGCCTGGTATGCTGAGGGTGCCATGCCGTATGCAAGGGGCAGACATTGAAGGCTTTTAAGCCAGGGATAACACAGTTAGACTTGGTTTCAGAATAGCAGTTCTCAAGCATTTTCTAACAAGACGTGTAACAGATGATGTGCACAATCAACACAGACCTTGTATGTCAGGCTCTCCTTGTATGTCAACCACAATCCCACCCTTCTCTCGCATACTCAAGAAAATACTTCAGGATTATCACAGTGGGATCTCTTTTGATCACCTCCACATAATGGACTCACCAGATAACCTGTGTTCTTCTTTCCTCTATAAGACATACTGACATTTGCCACAGCACACCAGATACTTGTGACCAGTAGGCTACTCGCTAGGATGCCCATGCTCTTCTACTTCTACCCAGAGTTCACACTTACCAAGAGTGAACTGTCTTTTCTCAAACCTGCTTATGCCAATTGTATCTGTTACTGGAAGCAAAGCATTATAGGTATGGGTTATGTAACAAAAAAGCACAATACCTGCTCTTGATCGTTGAAGGTAAAAAAAAAGAAAAAATAATAAAAATAAAGAAAAAAAGCACAAAACTCCCAACAGTGAACCCATATGCCAAGAAAAAGCCTTGGCCATACGACAAAAAAATTGGAGGAGTATGTATTCGTATATCTTAAGTTAAAATACAATACTTAAAGTAATTAGGCTATTTATAATATTTCCTACTTTAACTGACCTTTAAAAACTAATTGCCCTACTATGACAGTCCAGCTGTGTTAGGTATGGGGGAGTCTAGTGTAATTATAAATTATAAGAATTAGAAAGGAAACAAGCAGGGCACAGTGAGTGAGAATAACATGGGGGTGATGTGTACCTGGTAGGTAATGGGATGTCAGACACAGCAAATAAACAGCTTGGGACAATTTCAAAAGCACAGGATTTCATCATTGTAGCCCATGAATTAGTAGTTTCATGGAAAGTTATATGAGTTAGTCCCTAACAGTGAGTGATAACCTTTTAAATGCACATATATAAAAACTATGGTAATCTAAAATAATTAAAATGAAGGTATTACAAATAATTGGTCTCGAGTATGTAAGATGATACTAGATTGCCATTTGTTGTAATTATGTAAAAAACAGTTCCTTCTGTACAGGATCTATTCTATTTCTTTTCCTCAAGCAAACAATCTCAAACTTGAGTTCTCTGAGTTATGACACTATTTGAAAACTACTCTCCTAGAAAGGCTACTTGGGCAGGACTGTGCAAAGTAGGTTAGTGAGGAACAACTCAAAGGCAAGGAGATCAGACTAGTGCAATAGTCCAGGTGAGAGATGAGGCTTGATTTTGGGAAATGGTTATGGATATGGAGAAAAGGGAATCGACCCAAGAGATATTTAGGAGATAGAGCAATCGTTCTTTTTTTTTTTTTTTTTGAGACAGAGTCTAACTATGTTGCCCGGGCTAGAGTGCTGTGGCGTCAGCCTAGCTCACAGCAACCTCAAACTCCTGGGCTCAAGAGATCCTCCTGCCTCAGCCTCCCGAGTAGCTGGGACTACAGGCATGTGCCACCATGCTCGGCTAGTTTTTTCTATATATTTTTAGTTGTCTGATTAATTTCTTTCTATTTTTAGTAGAGATGGGGTCTCGCTCTTGCTCAGGCTGGTTTCGAACTCCTGAGCTCAAACAATCCGCCCGCCTCAGCCTCCCAGAGTGCTAGGATTACAGGCATGAGCCACTGCGCCCGGCCAGAGCAATCGTTCTTGATGACTGAGCAGATGTGGAGGGAGAAAGGGCACAAAGAGCCCATGAGACCCCTAGACTTCTATCCTGAGTTATTTACCTACAACTATTCATTCATTTCCTCCAAGAATGAAATTTATGTGAAAGTTGGTCCAAGTGAAAGTTAATTAGATCAAAACCAAATCAAGACTAATATAAGAATATTAATCAGAAGAAAGACTCAGAGCCCATACCAAAAAACAGATCAGTGGCCTCAATACAGGTGGAAAAGAGGACTTGGGGGCTTGCCTGGAAATTATTTTCCAATCAAATACTTTTAATTTCAAATGGACATTTACAGTATTCAACTGTGTGGCCCTAAAATTAGTAATTTCTTAAATATCAAAAAGTGATTCCACAAAATACTGACACCAAACAGGCAACATTTAAATCAATTAATTTGGTTATAAACTGAAATGGATGAACGCTAAAAAATCATGGGAAAGAGATCTATTTTCTTTCCACTTCTTTAATAAGACTCTGACTAGTTTATTCTTTTGTTCATTCAGCAAATATTTCCTGAGCACCTACCACATGCCAGGCACTGTTCTGACTGGGAATATGACAAACGGGGGAAAGATATGTTTTTATATATATAAGATACTTGCTCTTATAGAGCTTGCATTCTATTAAATGGAGACAGACAATAACTAAATATTTACAATTCCAGGTTAATGGCTCCTGAGAGCTTCTAAAGTCTTAGATGACAAGAATCTAAAGACCTCTGAAACCTGGCTCCTACTTACCTTAGCATGATCCTACATTTTCTCAATTTCCTACCATTACCTCTATGGAGAAACTGTCCTCTATTCACCTACAAATGCTACTGATCCTGCCAAGGTTCAGTTCAAAAGTCACTGCTATCTACAAGTAGATACCTCCCAGCTAAAAGTGACCTCTCTTCCTCCTATGAACCCCTAAGGCATTAACAAGTCTTATGATACTAACTATGCTATGCAGTGCGCTAAAATACCTGTCACATTTGACTAAATGTTTTCACACTCAGGGTGGGCTTCATGGATGTGTGACCTGTGTCACTCTTGGTTTAATGCTCTATCTTGAAATGCTTAATAACTTTTGAGCAAGAGGTCCTGTGTTTTCATTTTGCACTGGGTCCTGCAAATTGTGTAGCTAATCCTGTCCATGTTAAATATCTCATGTGAACCTCAGTCAAAAAAAAAAAAAAAAAACCATTGTAAGTAAGCGAGGAAGACACTGTAATTCTCATTTTTTAAAAAAGAGATAACTTCTATAAATTTGGAGTATGGGCTACTAAACAGAGATAATTGATCTTCCTCTCCGGATTGAAAAGACAAAAATAAGCCGAGTCAGTCCAGAAATAAAGCCCTGCATATATTCTGTTGGTGGGATTATAAATGTTACAAATGTTATGGAAAACAGTATGGAGGTTCCCAAAAACACTAAACATACAACTATATAGGATCCAGCAATCCTATTTCTGTGTACATATACAAAAGAACTGAAAGTGGGCTCTCAAGAGATATCTGCACATCCATTTTCATAGCAGCTCTATTTACAATAGTCAAGAGGTGGAAGCAACCTAAGTGTCCATTAACAGATGAATGGATAAACACAGTGTGATATACACAAACAGTGGAATATTATTCAGCCATAAAAAAGGAAATCATGTCTGTCACGGGCTACAATATAGATGAAACTTGAGGATATTATACTAAGTGAAATAAGCCACAAAAAAACAAATAGTATATGATTCCACTGATATGACTATCAGAAGTAGTCAAATTCTTAGAAACAGAGAAATACAAAGTAGATGGTGGTTACCAAGGACTGGGGAGAGGGAAAAGGGGAGCTTATTTAATGAGCACAGAGTCAGCTTTGGAAGATGAAAAAGCTCTGGAGATTTGTTTCACAACAATGTGAATATATTTAACATTACTGAGCTTACACGTAAAATGGTTAAGATGGTAAATTTCATGTTTTTCACCACAATAAAAAGAAACCCAGACCAAGTCAGAAAACTGATTATATTCTTTGTAGCATTACTTTGTGCTAAAATAATCTCTTAGAGGATATATAAACAAGATAAATATTAAAATACAAAAACATTTCATACCCAGAAAACCTTGTTACCTGCAACAAATCCAACTACCAGATCTTTCCCAGTAGTAGAACGTTGACCTTTGACCCAGACTGCTTTGAGGCTATTAAAAGTGTAGAAATAGACAAAATTGGAGCAGCAAAGACTGGAAATGACTGGAAACCACCCTCGATATGGTGCCAGGCTAGGGGAAAAACACAAAAAGCAAAGAAAAGGTTATGGACAAAAGCCTTTTGAAATTGGTAGGTAAGTCCTAGGAAAGGATGATCTTCACTCAGTCTCAAAGTTCTCTCCTACATTACTACAAAGGACTCCAAATTGTATACACACCTTACATTCTGAAGAACGACCAAATCAAGAAATCTTTTCTAGCACTAATGATACCAAAGAAACAACACAAAGTCTGTCTGATTTACTGATTCCCCTCTCAGGTTTCCTTTGGTAACATCAGTATATAAAATTGAAGATAATTTCCTTATGGCTGTTAGTTAATATAGCACCATTCACATTTTATTACAGAGCAAGAACATTTAAAATAAGCAATTATAGAAAATAAGTGCAAAAAAAAAAAAGAGATAATTGGGGCACAGGAACAAGATTGAAGGGAAGGGGCTCCTACTGGCCAAACTTGGGACAATTTCAACACCAAAATATCAGTAATTAACTACAGTAATCAATTGTAAGCCACCAAAAAAGTAGAAATTTCTGAGTCTATACCAGTGTGAACTAAAATAAAATCTTAAGCCCTTCAGCTGACTGAATGGATTCCCCTCTTGGCCAAGTGGACCCCAGAAAAACCTTAAAACTAAACTGCTGGCCATGAGGAGAAGGGAGGTCAGAAATACCTCCTCATGCCCCCTCACTTTTGGAGTCACTTTGTCATAATAAGATACTACATCATTAATGGGCCTAAAGTCATGCAAAATCAAAGCTTAAACCACACCTGCAGGCCATTGATTTACTTAACAGATCACTTGGGTTTCAGTATGTGTCTGGTGACTTGTCTCTGATTAACAGACAGCCTCATCTTAAATTAAAACATCCCAAGCCTTTAGACAAAGCTTCATTTCTTTAACCAATTACAAATATCTTTAAACCCACCTATAACCGTAACCCCACCCCTCTTCTAGATGTCCTGAATTTTGGGGCCAAACCAATGTACACCTTCCATGTATTGACTTATGATCTTATGTGTAATTCCTGTCTCCGTGAATGAATAAAACCAAACTGTAACCCAGCTACTATAGGCACATTTTCTCAGGACCTCTTCAGGCTATGTGCTCCAGGCTGGTCACATACATTCAGTTCAGAATAAACCTCTTTAAATTATTTTACAGAGTTTGGGTTTTTTTCCACTAATACCAGTCATAAATAGATAAATATTAATAAATGATGGAGAAGGTGAGGCTCCTTCTTACAAGTAGAATGCTAAGACTGGCAAATGTGGAGTTGGAAAATCATGATTTTGCAACTTCATGGTAAATTTAGGGGAGAAATTTTTGATAAAGAGCAGGATATTTGTACTGTCTTAAAGAATCTCCTCATAGACTGTTTATAGTTGCAAAAGAAGAAAAAAATAATTATTCAGAAGCTAAATCAAATCTAAGAAATCATACTTAACCAATGAAGAACAGGTAGACAATATGTGTCTCAAGATGTGATACCCTGAGAAGGACACAATATCACCTGTGCATTATTTTGGACAAGAATGCATAACCTCAATCTAATCATGAAGAAACACGAGGCAAACTTAAAATGAGAAACATTCTATTTAAAAAAAGGGGGGTGGCGGGGGAGACTGTATTCTTTAAAAGTGTTAAAGTCATGGGAGTAAAAGGCTTTGATGTATGTAACTGTCAAATAATTCTGAAAAAATTTGTGTGTGATGTGTGTATGTGTGTAATAGGAGAGAAGGGGATGGAAGAGAGCGTAAGCACAAACGGTAAAACAAATGAGAAAAAATGTTAACAAGAGATGAATCTGGGTAAAGCACATGCTGGTATTCTTTGTACTAATTTTAGTTTTGCAATTTTTGTGAATTTGAAATTATTTTCAAATAAAAAGTTAAAAAAAAAAAAAGAAGTACATAATCTTTATGAATGGATTTGATAGGAATGAACTAAACCTACTATTGTCTTCTTGGGTTTACTATACATGATACAAAGCATTGGTTTCACAAAGACTCCACGATCAAGAATCGAACGGCTAACTATTAATACAGATCTTTTTTTTTTTTTTTTTTTGAGACAGAGTCTCACTCTACTGCCCTGAGTAGAGTGCCATGGCATCAGCCTAGCTCACAGTAACCTCAAACTCCTGGGCTCAAGTGATCCTCCTGTCTCAGTCTTGCGAGTAGCTGGGACTACAGGCATGCGCCACCATGCCCGGCTAATTTTTTGTATATATTTTTAGTTGTCCATCTAATTTCTTTCTATTTTTAGTAGAGACGGGGTCTCGCTCTTGCTCAGGCTGGTCTCGAACTCCTGAGCTCAAACAATCCGCCCGCCTCGGCCTCCCAGAGTGCTAGGATTACAGGCATGAGCCACCGCGCCCGGCCTAATACAGATCTTTAAGGAATTGAAAACAATTATGTACTTTAAGTCAGGCAGTTACAAATTCACAACATTATAAAGCCATGAGAATGGATAGAAAGTGAGTGTATGTGTACTGGAGACACAGGAATCCCCTAACAAATTACTATGTTTAACACAAGATGAAATGACATGGTACTCACAGGCCTTCTTCTTTAATGATCTCCAGAAGCACCATGTGTGTAGTTTTGGACTTTCTTTTCTCATCAACTACAAGACCAAACAGTATATATTTAAATCCTTTGAGAATTATTATCTTCAACATCAGCAAGTTCCACTGAAATGTTATTTCCCTCACCTGAGCAATCTCTCACCCTATTCTTTGAGCTCCCTGGTTTCCCTCATAACTTAATGATCGCCTGTGTGACCATGTGCTAAATTCCCAAACGTACGTTCCTTGGATTTCATCTGTTATTCATGAACCAAAAAGCATTTTAATTCAATTCCTAATTTCCAAAGTAAAAAACCTGACAGGAGAAATTTATTCCTTATATTTCATAAAGCTCTCGTTTTTTCAAAGTTTTATATAAACATATTATATATGTATGTATATATATATTCTCATTTTAATACCTTATAAAGTAGAGAGGAAATAAATTACAATCTTCCTTTTACAGAACAGGCTACAGACACAAAAGCTGTGAAGCAAGCCAGGATTAACATTCAAGTTTCTTAAGTTTTAGCCTTGTGTTCTGTCTCCTAATCTAAAAAATAAAAGGTATCAAAAGGATGAGAACTACTCTGCTTTTTCTGGCATTCTCACTGACAACAAAACTTACCTCAATTAACTTCAAATTTTCTACTCACACTTGAAAAATAATTTGAGAACATAAAAATGTGGAAATTAACCTATTTCCTAAGAATAAAATTGGTACTAGTATGGCTTGTGGGGTGGCAAATTAGTAAATTCTTATAGAAGACATTCTTGCAATAACTATTAACATTATGAACACATTTACCCTTTGGTCCAGTAATGCCATTTCTGGGAATTTATCCCATGGAATTTACAGAAACAACATGGAATCTGAACAAATTTATTCTTTTTATTTATTTATTTATTTATTATTTTTTTTCAGACAGAGTCTCACTCTGTTGCCTGGGCTACGGTGCCATGGCATCAGCCTCCTCTTGGCCAAGTGGACCCCAGAAAAACCTTAAAACTAAACTGCTGGCCATGAGGAGAAGGGAGGTCAGAAATACCTCCTCATGCCCCCTCACTTTTGGAGTCACTTTGTCATAATAAGATACTAAATCATTAATGGGCCTAAAGTCATGCAAAATCAAAGCTTAAACCACACCTGCAGGCCATTGATTTACTTAACAGATCACTTGGGTTTCAGTATGTGTCTGGTGACTTGTCTCTGATTAACAGACAGCCTCATCTTAAATTAAAACATCCCAAGCCTTTAGACAAAGCTTCATTTCTTTAACCAATTACAAATATCTTTAAACCCACCTATAACCGTAACCCCACCCCTCTTCTAGATGTCCTGAATTTTGGGGCCAAACCAATGTACACCTTCCATGTATTGACTTATGATCTTATGTGTAATTCCTGTCTCCGTGAATGAATAAAACCAAACTGTAACCCAGCTACTATAGGCACATTTTCTCAGGACCTCTTCAGGCTATGTGCTCCAGGCTGGTCACATACATTCAGTTCAGAATAAACCTCTTTAAATTATTTTACAGAGTTTGGGTTTTTTTCCACTAATACCAGTCATAAATAGATAAATATTAATAAATGATGGAGAAGGTGAGGCTCCTTCTTACAAGTAGAATGCTAAGACTGGCAAATGTGGAGTTGGAAAATCATGATTTTGCAACTTCATGGTAAATTTAGGGGAGAAATTTTTGATAAAGAGCAGGATATTTGTACTGTCTTAAAGAATCTCCTCATAGACTGTTTATAGTTGCAAAAGAAGAAAAAAATAATTATTCAGAAGCTAAATCAAATCTAAGAAATCATACTTAACCAATGAAGAACAGGTAGACAATATGTGTCTCAAGATGTGATACCCTGAGAAGGACACAATATCACCTGTGCATTATTTTGGACAAGAATGCATAACCTCAATCTAATCATGAAGAAACACGAGGCAAACTTAAAATGAGAAACATTCTATTTAAAAAAAGGGGGGTGGCGGGGGAGACTGTATTCTTTAAAAGTGTTAAAGTCATGGGAGTAAAAGGCTTTGATGTATGTAACTGTCAAATAATTCTGAAAAAATTTGTGTGTGATGTGTGTATGTGTGTAATAGGAGAGAAGGGGATGGAAGAGAGCGTAAGCACAAACGGTAAAACAAATGAGAAAAAATGTTAACAAGAGATGAATCTGGGTAAAGCACATGCTGGTATTCTTTGTACTAATTTTAGTTTTGCAATTTTTGTGAATTTGAAATTATTTTCAAATAAAAAGTTAAAAAAAAAAAAA